ATTGCACTATAGATATTTTCTTAGTACATTACAAAGCATAATTCCATCCATTCTTATACCAACCATTATAATGCAATATGAAGGTATCTATGGTGTATTAAAAATGAAATCTTCATTGGAGCCTATTAAGTATTATAATCAACACTATAATGCCTTATGACTGTCAATGGAAGATGTTATGTTATTTAATGCTTTATTAATTCTTATTCTGACCATTATACTGCATTATGAAGGTATCTATAATAAATGTTATAGATGATAGCTTCAAGAAGCCCTTCTTAGCCAAACAACTGAAATCCTGTAAACCAGCATTAACACGGTGCAAACATCACGTAGTCAACAGGCCCGGTGACTGAATAAACCCCAGTTCTTATGGAAACCGCCAAGACTACAAAAGAATTAGCCAACAAGGATAACATAGAGTCTAGCTGGTAAGCTAATTAAAATGAACTTCGGCCTCACCACTTTGCTCATTAGCGTGCAACGTCTGATTAATCTGGACGACACCTTGCTAAACATAACATGGGACACAATGGCCAAAGCTGGGCTCTTCTTATTCGTGGCACTTGGCTTATTCTGGCCTATTAGGTTGACAGTGGGTAAAGTGTGATGTCACACATGTGGTATCAAGTGAGGGCAACATGTGTCATACCCTTGAGGTAAGGCTTTTCTACCTGACTCTGATACCATTAATAAAAAAAAAAAACAGGGACCTAAAGCAAAACAGGCAGGGCCTTTCTGCCGTTTAATACACTACAGGAGGGGCATAATTTTGAGTTCAGGTTTCTGGTCAGGTCTCCACACCCAGAGCCCATCTGCAACCATGCTGTGATGTCGCCCAAGAGAATGCCGAAGAGGAGGCCTCATTGTGTGAGCTAACAGACTGGAAACTGCTAGACCTGAAAAGGCTGTTTGCTTATTCATGGCCGGAGTGGTCAAAAGAGGCCGCTAATTATCCCTGAAATTTGGTATGCCTGCTGATTCTTGAACCTGACACAGCTCACCACGTCCGGGCCATGCCCCCACCTACAGATCCCAGCAGACATGGGGCTACTGCAGGTCCCACAATGATCCTCCAAATAAAAGTGAAACAGAAACCGTATGCAATTTCTGGTGCAAAAAAAAAAAAAGGCGAGCCAGATTGTTTCAATTCATTCTCCAGTTTGTGTCAGACTTAGTATACAATATGTACTATTATAATACATTTGTTCAGGATCTCATATACTGACTGAACTAAAGAATATTTAAAACCTCAGAAGAGGGACACCGAAAATTCCCTTTAAATATTTATGATTCAAGGCTTAAACAAAATTTAAAGGAATGTAAATTGGTCCCTCGTATATGTCATCTGTCATCTGGCAGAACTCTCCATCTCAAATGCACAGAGGATATCACGAGGAGAGAGTGAGGGACACAGACTGCCTGACTGCAGAGGAAATGGTCCTGTCCAGGCACCGTAACAACATTACTGTTGCTGATCCAGAGCGTCTGACAACAAAATTCCCACGGGGAAAAAAAAAAAACACAAGATGGCTGGAAGAGCAGAACATCAGGGAACACCTGCTTAAAGTCTGCTTGGTCAGGGTTCGAAGCGTTCGAACCGTCATACGGAGGATACTTTAAATGCAAAAATACAAAATAAGAATTTTAAAGTAGGACAAAAACACAAATGCTGTTTTCTTGTTCTGCAGATGGAAAGGAATGACAGTTCTCATCCAGCACACATGGGCAAAAATGGGTAATTGTTATGCAGTGGAAGGAGTGTTTGATCTGATGTATTACTGTGGAGGAAGTCATCAGATTAAGAAGCAAACATTCCTTAGTGAGCTCGCCTAAACAGCTATGGCTACAGTGTACAGTCTGTCACCTTGCTCTTTGCAAATTTTGCGCCTATTTTCACTTCCCATTAAACTTCAAGGGCTGCTTATGAGCAACAGTGCTCTAATTTCCAGGAAACCGCATTAGTTTTTTTGCAGAACAATGCATTCATTAGGGAAATGAAAAACTTCTCACAAACAAAAAAACACATCGTGCAGGCATATTTACAGGAATCTGTTTGGTGTGCATCGTGTCTGTGTCTGTGTCTGTCTCTGCAGCACAGGCGATGAAAGAATCCACTTGCAAAAGCTCTTAAACTTAATCGTGGACAAAAAGACATTTCTCAAAAGTGCTGTAGTTTTAGTTTACTGTGGGCTTTGAGTTCTGTGCTTTTGCAGATACACATTTTGGTATTATTTTAATGCAAACCTACTTCGGGGGAAACTCCATCAACAGGTTATAACACAGCAGGATATAATCTCAACTGGAAATCATTGTAGCACATCAACCATCTTCACATTAAACAACAAATACAAGATAATTTATACATATGAAAAGCAATTTGTTTTCATATAGCATGTTTTTTTTACCACAATTAATTCATATTTGTAGTTCTCAATTAGAAAATAGTGCAAGTGGCCTATGACTTCACCAAAGAAACCTGTTTAAAACAAACAAAAAACAGAGGCTAACATCAACCTCGACCCAATTTACAAGGTTTGATTATGCTGTTGGCTCTACGAATGTGATCAATAGGAAGCTCTTCCCAGATTTGTTCTGGGACAATTCCAAATTCTAAAAGACCTTGACATTAGCGCGCGAGAAAACAGCTGACGCTGCACGGCACGTGGCAGCGCCACTGCGCCATTATATAAGGGGACGGGAGGCGTGCATCTCAAATCGCAGCCCGGCAGAGTAAGAAAACCCAGCTTTCACATCAGAAAACTTACTGCTGGCCGCTGGAAATCATTAGCCAGCAAGATAAGACACTGAAAACGCTAATGAGGTTTAAACTCAAGTCGAAACCATCAGCTTCGGCTTTCAATAAACCCGTCAACATATAAAATATATTATTTATGTCATATCAATGTATGATAACCTTGTGATCAGTATAGCAGCTAAACTGCACATGCATTTTATTCCTTAGCGCTGATGAGTTTCAATTACCGCTTGATAAATGATAATGAGTTTACCAGAGATAATAACTGATGTCAAATAGGTGCGGATGTAACTCAGCATAATACATCCCAAGTACCTTTTGGAGTAGCTGCCTTAAAGGCATAGCTAGGTTCACATTTCCATGACCCAAGTTATTTTATAATCTCTGGAAAATTCCACATTTCGTCGTGTTTGTTCCGTTCAGTTATGACTGAACTTCCTTAGCAGACGGCCAAGTACTCGCTCCAAAATCATACAGGTCCTTCAGTCTGTCAGGCTACATTATTCCTAATTCCAGTACCTGCATGCGTGCCCAGATCTAAACGTGAAAGATGTGCGCCAAATCAATGGGAAATTATTGTGACAGTACTGTAATAGCGGGCAACGTGCCCAACACCATCGTAACAGCTCAGTCACGAGTCTCCTGAGTCTGGCGTAACACCCGCTTTAGCGCCTCTACTAAACATTCAAATACCTCGCAGGAAAATGCCAACTTCCAGCATGTCCTTCTGATAAGCATTCGCTGCTCGAAAGCATAATCAGACACCAAAACACTGGATTATTACTTCAAGGGCGGCAATTACAGGTTATAACACGATGGCATGGCAGGATTTCTCACGGTGGGGGGAGAATCTGGGCGTCGGAAGCTTTTTAAGAAATCCCGAAGAGACTGACAATTTAATGCGATCATCTTGTTGAAAATGATTCAGATTCAATTATAGTCAGCTCTGTTTAGGAAATAAGTATAGTTTTGATTAAGCAGCAAAAGATGAACACGGTGAGACATGCACCCTTTAAACCGCTGATGCTGCCTTCAGACCCCATTGGTCCAGCTCACAGTCAATCGCACGGAAGCTCGTACAACCAGAACGATTCCCATTATGCAGGAGAACAACACGCTGGTTTTGCTTCAATAATGCAGGGCTGCCAGCTCTCACGCATCTGGCGTGACACTCACGCTTTCAGACTCTCACGCATGAACTCTTACGGCAATCCTATGTAATCCACCTATAAACCTAAATAATTTACATAAAAAGCGTCGGGGTAGTTTGAAAACCCTACAAAATATTTACAATGTCATAAAGCAATTACATGCATGTAAATGCGCATACATGTGCATGCAGACTCGAACTGAAAATCTCACTCCAGCCTGCTGACCAAAGTTGGCAACCCTGATAATAGTGGGTGCATCACAGGTGATCAGAATTAAAAAAAAATGGGCGTATATAAAAATAAGATGCTTGTAAACAGATGGCATCTGGGTTAAAGATGCATGGAAATGTTTTAATTCACGTTAGTCGATGCTTTTATACACATTAGCATGCATATTGTTCCCATCACAGGCAAAATCAAGCTGAACTTTTGTCCATTCCGTAACGCCACACCCCTTCCCGCTCAAAAAAAGATCATTTGCATTCAGCCCATAAGCCATCTGTGACCCCTCAGAAAATGGTAATGTTGACAGTCTCTGACCTTTCTCATCTTTTGTTTGAGGTCTGAGTGACCAGAATTCATGCCATTAAAAATTAAATTGAAAACTAAATCTGATTTGCAGCTGTTAATTCCTGTCATGGTGATTTATGGCATCGGTGCCCCTAATCAGCACTATTACATTTCCATTTTAGGTGCAAGTTCAATAAATGAAAGAAAATTAATAAAATGAGATCCTAAGTTTCCTGGCTAGTAACAATTCCTGCTTTGGAAAATACCGACGAAATTCAATGCCTTTCATCTAACACACAAACTTGACGTAGCCTTATACCCTATAAAACACTGCTATTGATGCACCTCCGTTTATTTCCCTATAATTCCATCAAACCATCCCATTAACACCCCCCATTAATTCGCTGGTACGGTCAGATATAAAACTGGTTTTCTGTTATATGCGACATATGAAATGCCACAAATAATACGGGTACAGCAGGACGGCCGATCTGAAACCCTTTTCTGGCTCCTGGCGGGTAAGACTACAGGCACCTTGCACAAAAAAAAGCATATTAATATTTTAAAAGGGCTTGTCTTACCTTGGGCCAGGGCTTTCAACACGTGGGTACTTAAAAAGAAGAGCGCCCAACAACTCCACGCACTAAACTTTTCCCTGCCCATCCGGACGCGACTCTTCCCGGGGCGCCGAGCGATCTCTCCGGGTATCTCACGGTCTCGGTCAAGACGGGTAACTTCCATGCTCTTGATCTTCTCACCCGGCATGCCGTCCACATTTATTTTGCAAAAGGCAGCATCGCGGTCCAGGACGCACTCTACAGTGTCATTACTGCTCTTCCCACGAACCCTTTGCCGAGTGCGATCGGCACAGTGAAGCTCATCTTCAGTGCGTCCCTTGCGCTCCCTCGCTTTCTGGGCTTCATTCATTTTGTACGGACCTTCGGATCGACCTTTCAGGTCATGTTTTCTGTCGCCCGGTAAGCGGCCATCGATCTGGTCTGCGTGAGCTTTTCCGAGGGACACGGGACCGTACCGTGAATGCCGGACACTTTCCGGCACAGGAGCTCCTTCGCCGGGCGCTGTGCAAACGCCCCGGTGCCGGTGGCTGTTTAACTCGCCCTGCGTGATCCCACCACTGTGGCGGTGCAAAGCATCCCGTGTGTGCTGCTCGGTGGCCGACGCGATGCTGCTGTCTTCTTTGCGGCACTTCATTTTAATTCCCCGTTGAAATTTAATCCACTATTTCATAGGGGAGTGCGGCGATTTCAGCCCAGCCGCATGCATCTGATACGTCCTACAAATCCTTCCTTGTTCCGATGTCTTCGGTGATGGACAGTCTACCGGAAAACTAGCTTTGGGTCCCTTATCGGTATAAACCATATACAATGAAACACTGAAAACAGCCCATTGTGGTCAGTTTCTTCAGCCCAGATCAGTTGTCTTATATTCCACGTTTTCCCTGCTTCATTAGAAGTTTAAATTGAGCCAGATTTCGCAAAAAGCGTCGATCATTCGCAGTTTCGCTCACTTTGTTGTTGTTTTTTTCCGGAATGGTTTGTATTTTCTTATCCGGCTTTATATCCCCTCCGAAACGAAAAGATGTGCAACCATAACAGGTTTCCTGAACTTTGGGAGCAGCACGGACGGCTCCCCGCTGGCCAGACAACAGGTTCACGGGTAGGCGGGCGCGTTTCTCCGGGTAATCTCTCCGCAAATCTCCGCCCCCTTTCACCTAACGTGAGAGAGAAAATGACTGCAAATAAAATGTATTGCTGCAAAAAGCTCAGAATATCATCAAACAGCAAGCTAATAAACGTGAACCGAACAAATCGGATAAAACTTATCCTACAGCTACTTGGACGAAGTAATAGTTATACCTACCTAGAGAGCTGGGACCAGAGAGAAAGAGACAGCTGAATAATTCCCCTGCATTTACAGGAAATAAATATTTAACATGTGAACTATTTATACAAATGTAAACACCGGAAATAAAACAGCGTAAATTGCCACGAACGCATAAAAACGGGGTTTTATTTCATTCTGTTAATATATGGAAGTAGTCAGTCCAGCAAAACTAGCCCTGCATAAAGCCTGCTGGTGCTGATGGTTGGTGCTGATGGCTGGCTTTTTGCATTCCGCTTTTCCCCACTTCACTTGTCTTGCACGAAACGCGCAGGGGAGGCTTCAACCAAACACCTGCCACTGCATAAACAGGAACCGGGAAAAAAGCACCATTATCGGTCCCGCAAATGCTTGGAAACCCGATTATAACATTAGGGGATAAAAGCAACTTACGCCAATCGTCGGTCCTACTACAGGCAGCCGTGCCTTTTCTTGTAAAAGGCGCAATTACCCGTTGTCACCAAGAAGAAGCAACTTTCATTCACAAGATGTGCGCTCCGCCCCTCGCCGGAGCCATTGGACGGCCGCTCGGGCGAAACGGAGCGGGGAGCCGGCGGAGCTTCCAGCGCGCACACGTGGAGCAAGGCGCCCCCAAACCGAGAGCCGTGTAACGGAGTCGATCCTACTATTTCTTTAAACATCTAATCCAGCCTAATCATAAATAAATAAACAAATAAATAAATACGTTTGTGTAAAACTACGAAATACCCTAAAATCTATCTATCTATCTATCATAAATACTTCAGTAGTATTCCAGTATCCCGTACCAGGTCGCTTGGAACCTCTCCTAGGGGCCCAAGGCAAACGGCAGAGGAATACCTTGGATGGGGAACTGTATATGCTTGCAAATAAAGCCTAACTCTATGCTTGCAATAGAATGTAGAAAACACTACGAGGCTGGACTTATGTGGCAGATTGGACCTTTATTTTTGACTGTGATGTAATGTTGGTTTTCCAAATACGAACCCTAAAGTACCCAGAGGAGTTGCCCTAAATTCATCAAGGGTGACATACATTTGCACTTATCACTTATTTCTGTAATGGTAACTATAGTGTAATTACTACTGCAGTTTCTGGAATGCTTTGGAAAGTGTAACATTTTCCAGCGCGACACTGATAACATTCCTGGGATTACTCAACACAAAATCATAAATTACCATGTAATGCAGCACTTGTGGGAAATGCAGGAATGGGAATGTATCTTCTGTGCAGAAGGTGAAGCTTAACTATCGGTGCGGGATCCATAAACTCTAAGAAAGAATGTTTCCCATTTCCTATGTCCAAGGCTTTGGATAAAGAGCTGGTCAGTTCAAGTAATATATGTAACCATAGAGCTGCAGGATGATAAAACTGAACTGTTAAATACCAGACACACACACACATATGGACATATGTATGTATGTGTGTGTCTATTATAAATGAACTGATCGTTTAATGTCCTTGTTCTCCATGTGAGACACACGGCGGACATCAGAACAGAGAATCAGAACGAAGTGACTTGGTCTTTTTGCATATGATCATTTCCGTTTCCCCTGACCTTCCTATGCAATGCAGCCTCATGAGGAGCCTGCAGTTTGTCTCGGGGCTCAAGGCAGGGGACCCCTGGATGGGCAACTAAACCATTATAGGGCAACCAAACACACACTTGCACAAACAAGCACACAACACATTTGGACAAGCTAGTATACTTGGATGAAAGAGAGTGCCAGTACTGCATGGGAATTTGACAAACAATATATTGTAAAGATGAGAAGAATAAAGTTATGCCTGATATATTAACAACTGGCCCAAGTAATTATTAACAATGTGATATAAGCGAGTGGAATCGTGAAATGTTGGGAATCAGAATTCAGAGGCTGAAATCATATGGCCACCCAGCACTTCAGAGAATGATAAAGTAAAATACATATAAATAATTCTTGTCAATGATGTTCACTTATGATCACTTATGTTCTAAAGAGAAAAGCAGTGAGTGTGCTTATCATCAGATTGCATTGAACTGTGTGTAACATATGCTTATGTTTATATAGCGGGGTAAGAGACACCTACAGGGCATGAATTCTTCTTGGCCCTATAAACCAAACAGGCCAATTACATTAGCATCAAGCACTTAAGGAACCATTATCAACAATGCATCATTAAAACAACACTAACACATAAAATTTCATATGGCAGGACTCAGCGGTAAACCCAAAATAATAATTATGATTTTATAGGCTTTGGGGGATTGAATCCCACATTTTCTCTGTGTGGAATTTGCATGTTTTTCCTGTGTTGTGCCGTTTTTTTCTGGTTGCTCTGTTTTCAAAACAAACAAGCAAACAAACATGTAGTTAGGTGACTTGGCATATATAAAACTGCCCATGTCTCAGTGATGGGCTTGGACCCTTTCCAGGGTGAAGCCCTACCACAGAGCCCCACTATGCAACCCTGTGCTGGAAAAGTGGTGGATGGATAATTTTTATAATTAACTGTTAGGATGTTGGCACAGTTTGAGAAGTTATATGGTTGTCACTAACTGTAACTAAGAAGATGTTTGACAGATATTCAGTGAAAGCTGTAGCGCAGAGCAATCCTGGACACAGATAATTTGGTTAATGTTGGAGTCACTAACCAGCAGGTGCTGAAACGTCTAATTTAGGACGTGATAAACATTCTGTATATTGTCATCTGAAAATGATTTAATCTGTTCAATGACTGAACTGGGACAAGAGTGTTATGCATTGTTGTTTCTGACGTTATGCATTCTGCTCTTTTAATTGTGTCTTACATGCTTTTTATGAAGCTAGGAACTAATAATTGCTAATGTTATGGCTCTACACTGTAGGTATCACAATGAGGACGACATTAATCCGTATCCTCACTGCATGTTCTACAATCGTATTACATTGCAGATGCTTCCACATAGGTTCAGAGAAGCAGGGAAAAAGTTACAGTGATAAATCCCAAAGTGATTGATAATCAGACAGCTGCATTCATCTAGTACTGCCTGTCTAGCCTTAAGCTGCATTAAAAAAAGTGGAAAATTACATGCTGTCCAACTACACTTTTTAATTCGTAGCCCGAGGGCTTCTGTGATCATTCCCTGGTGGCTAAGACCAGATATCTCTCAACGAGGCAGCCCTGAAATGAGATACGGAACCTTTACTGCTAGCCATAGATAAATCATCCTTCTCTGTTATTTAAGAATGAGCAGCGATGACATACTGTGGGAACACAATCAGGGAAGAGAATGAGGCTTACGGCATCTGTGACAAGGCTGGTATTCCTGTCCTGGTGTGGAGAAAAAGATCAGAGGCGAAGGTGAGGCCCAGAGGCTGGGCAACGTGAGCCCCTCTCCTGCAGCACCTCCTGTTTGTCACCCTTATCCTGACCATCCTGTTGTCGGAAATGAAATACCCCCATTGCACTGTTAATTAATGAGCTGCTTCAAGTCCTATCGCGATGTTACTAATTCATCACAGGTGTCGACAGAGCTGATTGCCTAAATAAATCAGTCCAGCTGTTTATTGCAGGTACCTTTAAGAGATGTTTTCTGTTTGGACAAGATTAAAAATAAGTGCTAGGCTTTGAAAATGGGTGATGGTGTATTGGTAAGGAGATGTATTAAGACCTAGGATTGATTATTTGAAGTTTAATAGAAATTAATTCAAACCATACTTCTAATGATATATTTTGAAGGCAAACATAATCCTTAATGTAGGACAAACAATTTGAGGGACATCCAAAAGCAAAATGTAAAATACATTGGATCACGATGCTTTTCAAGTGAATCCCAGGAAGACCATTAATCGCTTGTTTTTTATCACGTTCATTTTCATTCCCGTAACATATGACACTCGTTTTCCTGATTAAGAGTCTCCTCTGAAGCATTGCGACACACGCTGGATCTCCCAAGAGAATTTTAAAACAATGATGCTAACTAATTGGTTTTGTACAGTGCATGCAATAAGAAATCAAATATACAAAACAGAGAAACCTTTTACATCCTCAAGATAATTTAGACCAGCCATTTAATAGGCACTCTAGCATAGTTTAATATGTCATTAATAACATTACTCATTTCCGACCTTGCAGATGGCAGGAATGGATCAAAGCCCTGCTTGACGAGTTGAACAGTAATGTTAGTAGAAACGTTGGGCTTAACAAATCAGCACATTGAATCGACACAAGAAAGGATTCTGGCAAGGTTAACAATTCTGGAGTCTTACCTATCTGTCATGACTAAAACTGGATTAATTATTAACAAAAGCCAAATATCTAACAAAAAGCCAAGATTTACTAAGCCAAATACGAAAACTAAGAAACACTATGTCTAAATGTATATGGCCAATTTTTACTCTTTTGAAAATCATGCATTTGTTTCTTGCATGCCTGTCTTCTATATGTAACCATATGTTAGTATATTGCTGAGATTCTTCCTCTGTGTAAAACACCCTTTTCCATAATAGAAGGCTAATGCTGATGAAATCTGAATCCTTGGTGCACAAAGGAAAGATGTCATTTGTAGCCTCTTTCATCTCATTGTTTCCTGCAGTTTCTCACACCAAAAAAAATCAATGTTAAACATGTCTGCCTCTTATCGTTTCTCCCTTGACATAAACATAATTGCACCCCTGTTAACTGTAATAGTTTTGAATATAGACTGGAGTCCAATGCGGGTACTTCCTGAGATAGGCTGCAGGCCCACGCTGTACTGGATATGAGGTAAGAAGATGGATGAATGGGTGACTTATTTCACTTTTTATTTCTTGATATTTTAATTAAATCATTTAGCACATTTCTCATATCTGGGCTCCACCTTTTTCTAAATTTTGAGAATACAAGATCAATTTTCAATTTCTTGTGTAGGTACGCAGACTTGATTGCATCTTAATCTACTCTATTGATTAAAACAAAATACAAATCATGTCTTGAACTGGCTCTGGAGTGTCAATGTTCATAAACCTGGGGCTGTTTTTAACAAGGGTAATAAAGCTTTTGCTTTAGGATGGATTTGAATGCTACACATTTCACGACCATTGACAATTACCCATAATACATTTATCCCTTCATTCTGATTCACTATTTCCTCCCTTCCTTTGAAATGAACAAAGCATTCAGTTTCTTTGCATAATTTCTGTTAAACGAGAAACACTCTGCAGGCCTAATAATGTTGAATAATGTGCCTAATATCCAGAAATTGGATGTTTGATTAAGAAAATGTGGCCTTTTAAAGGTTGGTAGAAGTATTCTGAGAGAAATATTGAGAGCTTTCTGCAATTTATTATATTTTGAATGGATATTCCATATATTAAAATAGTATATAAAACATTGAAAGGCTTTTCATACATACATTGCATGCCTATACATTATTAACTTAAAGATAATAACTATAAGCATTTAGTGTAGCTGTCAGTCAATTTCATTTCAAGTTCCTTTTATGCTATAGAATATACAACACATTGTCTATATATATTAACA